CGGACTGCCCCTACTGCCTTTGATTCTCTTATGAAGCCTCTTTTCAGGTTCTTGTCGATAAATTCTCGCAACTCCTTTATCTCCCTGTCTGACATGGCGTACAGCTTACCCACTGGCAGCTGAGCCCCGGAAGCAAGTTGATCTGGCAGTCAAAGGGCCTATGGGGTGGCAGTCTATCTGCCTCCTTTCGCTGAAGACCTCCCGCAGATCTGCGTATTGTGGCGGCACCTCCCATTTCCACTCCACCGCCATCCCAGCCACCCTGGCCACGGTCATTCTTGGGGCTTCCCCCCCTAGACAGTGTTCCAGGCAGTAAGCTGATCCAAAGGTGACTGTCCTCTGATGCCACGCCACCACTGGATCATGTTGTGCTAGCCAGCTCATCCCTAATATTATTGGGGGTCCTGCTAGCGAGGTGACGTGAAAGGCGATGGTTTCCGAGTGCCTGGACACCCTCATTCTCATTGGCGGGGTTTGGTGTGTCACTTCCCCCCTAGAAGCTCCCTGCCATCAATGGTGGTCACTTGCAAGGGAAAATCCAAAGGCAGTAAGTGGAGCTGGTGCTCTAATGCAAAGTCCTTGCTGAAGAAATTACATGAGCTGCCTGAATCCAGCATGCCTTTCACCTTGACTGGGTGCCCGTTCGGGAGTTCTAGCACCACTTCGATGGCTATTGCCGCCTTGGGGGGGTCTGGTTGGGGCACTTTTACTGGTGGCTGGCTTGGCTGTTGTGCCCCTTGATTGGCAGCCAAGCGTTCTCGTTTCCCTGTTCCTGTTCCTTTACCACCTCCTCCTCACCCCCTGCGGTTCCCACCATTCCTTGCCAAGCCTTTCTTTGAGGGCAGGCTCTGGCAAAATGCCCTGGCCGCTGGCAAAGGTAACACCTTTGGAGGTTTTCCAATCCTTTCCCTCCTTCTTGCGCCCTTCGCTGGTGCTTGAAACTTCCCGCGCGCGCGCCCCATCTATTTCCATTGGCTCTGCTGGCGGGGAGGGCTGCCTTGGTATTTCAGGAATGCGGTAGTCATGGCAACGTTGCTCTCTCCCTTCCCGCCTCTCCTGGGCCCGCGCTTCCTGGCGCGCGCCAATCGCAAGCACAGCCTTGGTCAGCTGATCCATCCCCTGTGGGCGGGGTGGGCGGGAAAGTTCATCCTTAACCGTTGGGAACAACCCCTCCTCGAATAACATCTGTATGGGTTCGGAGCCCAGTTCCCACCCGAGGCGATGAACTATCATGGCAAAGCGCGACCAGTAGTCCCTGACTGACTGGCTCCCTGTTTACAGTTCATCAATTCCCGCTTAGTCACACTTTTTTGAACATCAGTGGAAAACATCGCGTCCATCGCTTGGAAGAATTTCCTCAGGTCCTGCATGGCGGAATTCTGCGTCGCCATAAGGGGTCTGACCCATTCTCTGGCCCCGTCCTGCAGGTGACCCACAACATATGCCACCCGCGCCGCGTCGTCTTCAAAATCGTTATGCTGCAAGTCCAATGCGTACTCTATTTCCGTTCTAAACGCACTGTATTCTTGCGGCTTCCCCCCAAACTTGTGCACCAGTCCCGGTACCTTCCTTGCTATGGGGGTGGGTCTGACCTGTGCATCTTGAGACCGCCTTTCGTCCAGCCGTGCCGTCAGAATGGCCACATGCTGCTCCAAATCTCGGTTCCTCTCCTCCAGCGTTTGCCCTCCAGCTGCTCCCCCTGGGGCGCCTGCTTCTCCGGGCTTGCTCATGATGCTGCCTGCCTGCTGCTGCGCACGAGCAACTTTCAGGGACTGACGGATTGCTGTAATGAGTATGAGTTACTCGTGCATAAACTGGTGCCTCTCTAGGCTGATTTGCCTTGTTAAACCTTTCTGACTGCACAGCCCCTTCTGATCATGACTGTCTCAGTCACTAGCAGAATCCGTCAGTGGGCGTTTCTTGAATCTCTTCCAACATAAGAGTTGTTTGACACCCAATCGCCTCTGCCTCTCACTGCGCGGGAGCCTTCTGCGCAGGGCGGGCGTGGGTAGCGGGGGACCTGTCCCCTCCTCACTGAGTTCCAGTGAAGAGTCCGTGAGCCCTCTCTCCGATTTTCCCATCTGCTCACTTTTGTTCCTGGTGTTGCGCTTAAATGCTTCCCCCTCCACTGAGTCGCCTCTCCCCCTGCTGCTGGGTCCTTCTCCAGCATCATCCAGGAGCCTCCCCTTCGCCTCTCGCTCTGATGTCAGTTCCCTGACACTTGGTTTTCCCGGAACTTAAACCCCACCCTTTGACATTTGGCGCCCCAGGGCCTATGAAACATAAGAGCTCTTGCCTCTCCAGTCTGGTGTGTGGTTTCCCACAGAAGCCTCTGAAGCCCCCATGGGAAGCCCACCAGCAACCACAGGAAGGCAACAGCCCTCTTCTGCTCTTGTGTGCCAGCAAATGGGATTCAAATGCTGCCCCTGACCATGGAGGTAGAGTGGTAGTCATTTTGACTAGTAGCCTTATTCTCTATGAATTTGTCTAATAGCCTGAATTCTTGCCATCTCCACATCTGGTTAGTGTGAGAATGTTGAGGAAGGTAGGAGAGGATATATTGATTAAATATTATCCCTCCCCACTCACGCTACTTGAGCAAACAGCAGAGCACATTCCATTGCAGATTGCTGGAAGCAAGTTGATGATTTGCTAGAATCCTTTAAATTAAGCAATGTAGTCTGGCTTGTCTGGTCTGGCTTGTTCCTGGTAAGTTTCCCCTTTATTTCCTAATAATAATAATAATAATAATAATAATAATAATAACAACAACAACACAACAGTCTTCTTTAAAAGTAAGAGTAAAGTTGACTTACATTCAGTTCACAGCAGTAATCTAAAGGTAGGCTTAATCTTGTGCTTACATTTACATTTGTGGAGAAAAGAAGTCTGAGCTGGGCTGCAGACTTTCTGTCCTCTGTAAGGAAGAGCCAGAAGAGGAGGTCAACGCCCATCTACCTGGTCACACACAAGGGGAGGAGGCTCCAGAGCAGGTATGACAGGAACTGGAGCCACATTCCCCTGCGTGTCCACTCTAGGCAAAAGGAAAATGTTGCATTTGACTGCTCCAGTGATGATACATCCCACAGTTAGGTACTGTGCAGATTCCAGCAAACTGCTTTCACCAAGACTTCTGGGACAAAGCGATAGAACCTCCATTTCTGAATATGTGAAATCCAGTAGTTATTCATATCTGTCTCCAGTCCAGATACATCTATCACTCTATTTTTTAACTTTTAAATTTGTCATATGCAAAACATAATCTGCTCAAAAAAGTAGTCTTCAAAATCACTATACCAAATTTAAAAATGGAAATTAAAATTCTTAAACATTTTCCAGCTTAGGAAGTCTTTCTTCTTTCTGTTCTAGTAATTAGGTCAGGCATCCCGAATGTTGGAGGCCCTCCAGAGGTTTTGGGACTACAACTCCCATCATCCCTAGCTAACAGGACCAATGGTCAGGGATGATGGGAATTGTAGTCCCAAAACAACTGGAGGGTCGCGTTTGGGGGTGCCTGAATTAGGTGAATGATACCACACAAGTCTGCTCACCCCTCTTTGTGCGGCAGCGTTACAGGATGGCAGAGGCTTCACAGGGGCCCCGACGAGGGAACTGAAACAGTGGTGCCCTACTTGGTAGACGGTGGGGGCTTAAGCCCCCTCTGCCTATCAGGAACTGGATCCTAGCCTGCACCCGGCTTTGGTGAATGGGGATGCAGGCTGGGGACTTGGGCTGAGCCAGGGGGCAGAGCCGACAGAGCAGGTAGGCTTCCCTCGGATCCACCCATTGCCCATTTAAGCAGCCCGCACCTGGGGCACTACCTGTTTGTTCCTTCGCCGGGTTTTCTTCCCTGCCCACCCACCCTCAGTTTAAGCTGATAGTCAATGACTTTGCTGTGGCTATGGTGGTTGCTGTTCTTTATGGGGCCGGGTAGGAATTTGCCCACCGGGCTAATTGGCACCGACCTGGTGGTTTTGCTTACCTCATAGCAATTGTCACAACCAGTTTGGCATTGGGTCAATCCTTTGTTTTGGATGGAGGGGAGGTTGTAGTCTCTGCCTGCCCCTCCAAATGCTGGGGTATCCCGTTAAAGGGATCCAGGGGGAGTGGCCATGTCTGTGTGCCCAGGCAGGGTCAGGGCTGAAGGCACTCCCCCAGACGGCGGTCCCCACGGGGGTCACCCTTGTTGGGAATTCCACTCTACCCTTTGCTGCAGATATGTGGATTATTACATGTCACATGTCTGTTTACATTCCAGCACAGATTGCTGGCATGAGCGGAACTTCCGCTCTGTATTGTTTTTGTTTTTTTCTCTCTCCGAGAAGACGGCAAGGAGAGAGGCCATGTTTTCCTTTGTCCTGATTTATGTAGAATAAATGTGTAGCTTAGTATTGTATCCACGCCTCAAGCCTGATCTGTTGTGCAGTTTTACACTGCTGGGTAATGTGTGCTCAAGCATGCACTGCAGCTTGAGTCACAGACGCATGTCGGAGGAGGATGACTGATGGATCTCCACAGCGGCAAGGCTGAGAGGGGAGACGCTCCGGGTGGGGCCGAGCCTGCTGGCTTTTCAACCCCCAATTCCGACAACCCTATTTGATGTAAGTCTTAGGAACCCCCATCTGGGCCGGAAGTATTTTGATTGTCCCATGCCCAAGCCAAACCTCTTTCATTTGTATTCAATAATGTTGCGGCCTGTTTTGACCCCCCCAAAACCAGCCTCATTGGACTCTTATTTGCATGGGTTGGGGGATGGGAACCTGATGCCTGCTCCTGCAAGTACAGTTTCAGTTCAGAAATAATAAAAACTGTTGGAAATAGTTCACACTTTGAAAAAAGAAATTTTAATAAATTTTACTATGAAAAATTTATCCATTTTATTATGGGCATGGAGAGGGGCATATACCAGAAAGACTTCCCTTTAACAAAACCAACCCAAACATGTCTTCCTTTATGGACAAAACAGAAGGCATGAGACAACTGTAGCACCATTGCCCTCCTTAGCTCTTGCAATATAGGTCGTACTTCAACATCTTTCCAAGCTTAGTTCTTCCTGCAGCCTCCTCAAATTTTCTATCCATTTCTTCATTCTGGCTCTCAGAGAAGACACTCTTCCAGTCACCTACTATGCCTGCAAATATAAAACATAATAAAGATTATAGTACAAGAGAGAGAGATTTATTGTGCCATGAGCTTTAGGTGACTGGAGTCACTTTATCAGACACATGGAAGTGTTATCTTAAATGAGCCCCTGCTTTTAATTCTCCACAACTACCGCCAGATGGGCCCCTGAAACTGGACCTTTTCAGGTGCCTAAAATGTAAAGCAGCTCCCCAAGTCAGGTTCACTTGGCCCCTTTGCTGCTTGTTACAGCAAAAGCCCTCTTCTGCTGTCTGGGACCACACACATGGGCTAAAAGTCGGGAGGGGACAAGGGTGCACGGGAAAACAAAGTCCCTGGTGTCCCCACCTGTAGCAGGGAAAGTTTGAAGGGGGGTTGTTAATATGTTTTGGTAAACACACTTAGCATCTTCCTTGGGACTGGGATCCCCTCTGATCAGGAAGTTGGACAGGGATACTGCATTGTCTCCTGCCGATTTTCAGCCCACACACATTTGGGTGAATGCCTGTATAGGGCTGTAGAATATTTCATTTCAGTGAGCTTTTGTGGGTTGCCATCTTGCAATATGTGCTTACTTATTTTAGAGCGCCAAAGAATGTTGCACTGAGTGGTATGAAACTGAGTGGTAAGAATGAATACAATTGCAGCCTGGGATTGTTTCAGACTGATTATGGTTTTATGGACACCTCGTTGTTGGTAGTGATGGTTTGTTGTTGTTGTTTTACTGCAATCCACCATGAATGTTTTGTTGAGAGTGTGCCCTTCAGAGGCAAAAATATATTATGATAAATATAAATGACTCAGGACCGCAATACCTCAAGAACCACCTCTCCTTACATGAACCGACCCAAACCCTGCACTCATCATCTAAGGCCCATCTTCGTGTGCCCTCTCCATGAAAAGTCTGTGGAGTGGCAACACGAGAACTAGCATTTTCTGCAGTGGATCGCCACAGGGAGGTTCGGCTGGCACCTTCATTATATACCTTTAGGCACCAGGCAAAAACTTTCCACTTAAACCAAACCTTGAGCTGATTGACATCCAATGCATTTTTAAATGTGTTGTGGGTGGGAGGATACTTATTTTTATTCCCATTTTCATTATGTATTTTGTGTTTTTTATATTGTAAATCTATGGATGAAGGGCAGTGTACAAATTTAATAAATTATTGTTATCATTATGGTTATGATCATTAAAATGCTATAGCACTTAACGTAATAAAAATATCTAAACAACTTATATTGTAAATGATGAAAACAGAACAACCAATATTCACTAAATATGTGGATGAATTCATGTGGAAAAACTGTAAGCAGAGCCCTGAAATCCAAGAGGAAAGGTAGGTTTGTGGCATATTCATGAAAACAACAGATTCTAGGCTACTTTCTACCTGATGTAACTGAAGCACTACGGAGGTGTGGTTTCTCTCCCTCAATAGAGCATCACTGAAACATACAATCCCGATCTACATACTAGAGTGGTACAATGCAGTCATAAGACTGTGCTACAGTTATAGATTTACTTTAAAACATTCCACTTATAGGCTTACTTCTCATACTGCACAATGTTTCTGGAAGAAAACGTACTAGAGAAGCAAGGTATGTACTGTTGATGATAGTAATTTAACATATTAGAACAGGGGTTGGCAAACCATGGGCTGCGGGTTGGATTCAGCCCAAGGCCCTGGCCCTTGCCGCCCACTCAGTCAGTCCCTGCATGGAGCTAAACCGGGGCAGTGCACTGTTTAGCTCCACACGGCGACTGACTTCTGGGATGCAGCCACAGCTTCCTATTGGCTGCAGGAAACTCCTGCAGCCAATAGGAAGCCACAGACACCTCCTCATCCTTCCCCGCCATGGCTCTGAAAGCCAGCGAGGAAAGAGCAGCGGGCATGTGTGCATGCGCACGGGTGCCCATGCTCCTGTGCGCAGGCGATCTGGCCCACCGGTGGAAAAGTTTGCTGACCCCTGTATAAGAATGTTACCTTTACGGAAAAGAGTGTTGCCCATTTTTCCATGGGTTTCATGGGATTTTTCTTTCATGCTGTTGAAACTGGTCTTCTCCGTAATGGATTGAATATCTTGTTCCGTCACAGAAAAATTAAAGAATTCAGCTAATTTTTTTATTCCCAAAGCTGTGTTCTGGATAAAGAAAACAAAGGTGTCACAAATGAAAAATACTGTGACCTCATGAAACTTTTCCAGATCCCCAGTTCCTGTTTTTGTTCTACACAAGAGTTGCAACCAGCACATAACTTTCTTCAATCCTGCTCAGTTGTTCTTTGACTACTAAACAATATGTTTTGTAACAGAAAAACATGTGACCTTATTATTGTTTCCAGATGTGTCTTTCCTTGCAAGCTGTAATTGTTTGGAACTGTCTATGAAGAAATAGTCCTCAGTGACTTACAGAAATCCAGTCAAAATAAGATTTAACAAATCCAGAAGTTGTATTTTGAAAGAAAACATTCATGAGCTGTTTACCAGTCAAAGAGGGTAGAGATGAGCAGAAACCATGATTTAAATCCTGTTTCAATTTCCTTCACACACTCTCCATTAGAAATGCTTTAAAAAATTAAAAATAAATTTTAAAAAGTGTTATTTACCTCTTTTAGTTCCTCATAGGTAATAAACATAATATTTTTGTCATCCAGATACTTGTTCCATTCAATGATATGATTAAAGTAAAGGCCATAGGGAACTAGTAAGAAGAAAGCAGAACATTTTATTCATGTAACAAATCTCTGATAAGACAATGATAAAGGCTTTTATGTAAAATCTGAATTCATTTTCCACAAGTAACATTTGCTTATGCAAGCTAATGTTTGGAAAGGTAGCATGTGAAAATGTTTCTCAAAATGTCTTCCATGGATCTTGTTTACTGATGGTCCTATGTTATGTCTTTTACGCCAAATCCGTAACTCTACTGAGGGAAGACTAGCCTCTAGGCTAGTGGTATCCAAACTTGGCCCTCCAGCTGTTTTGGGGCTATAACTTCCATCATCCCTAGCTAACAGGACCAGTGGTCAGGGATGTCGGGAATTGTAGTCCCAAAACAGCTGGAGCGCCAAGTTTGGCCACCACTGCTCTAGGCGTTTGGGATACAGGGTGGTACAGAGAAAAATTGCCTTAAAAACTTTGATTGGACAGCTTCTGTAGATCCAAGGTCCAAGTCTGAGCCCTGTATAATAACTGTGCGAGGGGTTTAGCTTGGAACACTTCCAGGACCGATGGTATATGTTTACCACCTTTTGTGTAGAAAAAACATGTCAGAATTTTGGCACTTTGGGATGCTTTTTCTTTTGCACATTTCTGGTGTGCTCCCCATGACCCCATAAATTGGAAAATAAGACCAAGATATTTGAAGACTTTGACCTGTTCAATTAGCTGGTTGTCCATGCGCCATCTATGGGCCTTATGTAGTTTCTTGAGAAAACCATGACTTTGGTTTTCTTGTAATTCACAATTTAGAGCAACATGATCTTTTCTTCTTCTTACAAATTCATATTTCTGTTGTACCTAGTCTAGAATTTAATAGGCTGAATGGAAGAGGCACATACCTATTCCATTCATAAATTCTGAGAAGAAATCATCCCAGGTTTTCTGATCAGGGACGATGCTCATGCCTTTGGAAAAATGGAAGTAGGATACAGCCGTGTCTTTCGGATTTCGAAACAAAACCAGGATCTTCAAAACAGAAAGAGGCAGAACAGATATGCAAAACTAGAGGGACAAAGTTCATACCCATAACACCAAAAACATAAATCATCTAAACTTTTTCTTTAATCCGTAGTATGAAAATATTTGTGTATTTGGCCATGAATTAATATGACGAAGTTTAGAGAAAGAGTATAAAACAAGGGGACAAACCCCTTAAAAAATAATAATGAGATGAGCTCCTAGCTCATTGTTAGAAATTGTTCGCTGAACATGGAAGTCAATTCCTCAGAATCCCAGGTAAAAATTTTACAGGATTACAGCATCAGGGTGGAATCCAATGTAGCCCCAAAGCCACTGTTCCATCAGCACAAGGATTTCTGCTTGTGCAACAGAAGGCCTCACCCTCTCCTTTCCTTGTACTCCCCCTTAAACTACTCTGGAGTTTCCCCCAACCCTTTGGAGCAGATTTGGAGAGGACATGGGGCATGTACAGAGAGAGGCAAAGACTTTTTGAACAAGTGTAAATCCTTTGGCTGATGGGACTCCTTAGCAGAAAGCCATCCTTAGGATGGCAAAAGCCTCTGCTTGAGACCCTGAAAACCTTCTGCCATGCAGAATGCAACCATTCAGTGGCTGGGCATGATGCTAAGGTATTCTTTAGCATTATTTTTTAAAGCTGCAGCAAACCTTAGACTCATGGGCTGCACCTCTGCTCTCTCCTCCTTCTTATACAAGGAGACTGAAAAACTTCTGCCCTTGGTTTTGAATAAAACAGTTTTCCATTGTAAAAATGAAAGAAACAAACCTAAAGTTTATTCTGACCAGAATCTGAAACAAGAGTTTGTTCATTGCCATATTTTGGTATGCAAGCCAATTTGATGAATTTTTCATGAGAAGTGGTATATAAATATTCTAAATGGATGGATGGATTGAGGAAACTTTAAGCAGTGAACTTACCTTTGCCTTCTTTTGGAAAATAGATTTGGGAATCTTTTGAGGAATGAGATGTGTTTTGATCACTCTTCTGGAAGGTAACTTCTTCAACCTCTTTAGTAACATGTTAGAAAAAAAGAGAAATGTTAACATCCCTTTGTCCGAAAATAGCAGGGTGGTTCGATTGTACTATAGGAATAATCCACAAGTTTGACACATTAAGAGCTGCTTCACATAACTCTGAATGTAACCATTTCTATGCAGAAGTAAGTCTTGTTGAATTCATTGGAGTTCACTCCCTGGTAAATCGGGTTAGGATTGCAGCCTTAAATATTAGGAAGCCAGACAAGGCACAGCTGAAGTCACTTGTTTTTGTCTCTGGCTTCTACAAGCTCATCCAAACAAAAATGCCCAGAAGAGGTTCTGAGTTGAGCTTTGGCACTGAGTTGAGCTTCAGCACGGAAAAACTGAATTCAAAGCAGGGAAGCCAGCCACACCAATGTGTTCTCTCTACCCACCCCAATGGCACTAACTCATGAAACTGACTGCATATTTCTGGAGGGCAGTAGGTTGGAGAAGACCACATGGTATCTCTCATGTCGTTCAAATGCATCAAGCTATGCACTATTCTCTCCAATACCGACCTCAAACTTCCCAGGATCTCCAAATTCAAGGTATGGCAGTAATTTTAGTTCTTTCTCTATTTGCTGCCTCCGCTTCATTTCTTCATCATCGTATTTTCCAGATGCAGCTTCCAACTCTTTTAAAATCTGACCAACCCAGTTAGTACCTGAAGGAATGCCAAAGGACTGTTAGAAATCACAGAAAGAGACTCCTCATACCTACTGTAACATAGGCCTTGCATCACTATTGCGCAACCAAAGGATCTTCAGAAACGAGATTCATAACCATGGAATTTGAATGTAGTTGTGGTGTGCATATAGGATAAAGAATAGTAAAGGTTAAGGGACCCCTGACCATTAGGTCCAGTTGCAGACGACTCTGGGGTTGTGGTACTCATCTTACTTTATTGGTCGAGGAAGCCGGCATACAGCTTCTGGGTCATGTGGCCAGCAGGACTAAGCCACTTCTGGTAAACCAGAGCAGCGCACAGAAATGCTGTTTACCTTCCCGCCAGAGCAGTACCTATTTATCTACGGTACTTGCACTTTGATGTGCTTTCAAACTGCTAGGTTGGTAGGACGGGACCGAGCAACGGGAGCTCACTCTGTCACAGGGATTCGAACCGCCAACCTTCTGATCTGCAAGCCCTAGGCTCTGTGGTTTAACCCACAGTGCCACCCGTGTACAATCAAATTGAATGTTCCGGGAGACTCCAAAAGGGGTAGGGTGTTTTGTTTTGCAGAGGAATACAACATAGCAGGTGGTGCTATGGGGACGCGTGTGGGGCTGTGGTCTAAACCACTGAGCCTCTTGGGCTTGCCAATCAGAAGATCGGCTGTTCGAATCCCTGCAGTGGGGTGAGCTCCCGTTGCTCAGTCCCACCTCCTGCCAACCTCCTGCCAAGCACGCCAAAAAGTGCAAGTAGATAAATAGGTACTGCTCCAGCAGGAAGGTAAATGGAGTTTCCGTGCGCTGCTCTGGTTTCGGTGTTCCATTGCGCTAGAAGCGGCTTAGTTATGCTGGCCACATGACCCAGAAAAACTGTCTGTGGACAAATGCCGGCTCCCTTGGCCTGTAAAGCGAGATGAGCGCCGCAATCCCAGAGTCGTATGCGACTGGACTTAACTGTCAGGGGTCCTTTACCTTTTACAACATAGATAAGACCATATGTGTACAGTGGTTTGCATTGGTTTTGTTTTGTTTTTGTTTTTTTGCAGGGGTGATAATGAGGCTGATTCAGATGATTAGGGGGTTCTTTCCCCTAGACCTAACTTAAGAATGATGTCCATTAACCTCTCCCAATTCAGATCAGGGTCTCCTCTGTAATAAACAAAATCTGCCCTTATTCCCTTATGGGGGAAACAAGAGCCCTTATAGAGTCCGTTGTAGGTTCTCCATTGGCAGGAGAAAATAACAGAGGCCAACCAGAGAATATTGAGAAGCAAAGCAGCTAGTAAGCCTGATCTTTATTGAACTGTTGCAACAGGGTGCCTTCCTCACACGCAGGAAAGGAGGAGGATCCAGAACCAAGGTGTGCCTGCCCTTATATAGACATTTTAAATTGCCTTCCCTGGAGCTCAAGACCACCCCTCCATACATACATCACAGAAGGGGTGTAACCCAAGACCACCCCCCACAAACATCATACCTACATCACAGAAAAAGTGGTCTACAACAGAAATTTGAATGTTGTTGTTTTTCCTGTCTGCCAGGTGATCTGACAATGCCTTTTCTGATTGCCTTTCTGGTAGTCTGGCCATTCCTTTGAGATGGTGATTACTCACTTCCTGAGACAATGGGAAGGTTCCCTCACCCCCTCTCTCCTTGCAGAGAAAACATTTGGTCAGTTTGGGAGTCAAAATGGTTTCAGGGCAGTCTTCCTGTGCTGTTCGAGACATGTGGTCCACATATCTATGTATGTGCTTGGTTGGTACATTTATGAACATTTGTTATATAAGACCTTTTTTATTATTTCAATCCCCCCCTTTGGGGCTTAATTTTTTTATTTCACCACTGTCACTCTGTTCCTTTGAATTCTGCCTTTATAGATCTATGTTTCCCCATATATCTCTGTTTCTCTAGGTCCATGGGCTTTGCAAGAAGTAAAGTTGTGATGGAGCTGAGCAGGGCAGAATGATTTTATTGTATTGAACCCTTTGGGATTTTGTCTATATGCCAACAAAAGGTTTGAGATTGATATTGAAAAACAAAACAAAACAATGTTACAGTTGCCCATGAGAGGGCACCCCATTTGTGGAACAGTCTCCCCTCACATATCTTGTTGATGCCAACCCTGAGGGGTTTTAGGTGCCTTGTAAAATATATTTTTATTTATTTAGGCATCTTGTTAGCTGACTGTGAGCCAGGGTGTAATGAAGCAGGGTGGATTTGATTTAAATCAAATCTGTTTAAATCATGATTTAAATCACTAGTCAGTAAGACTTGATTTAAATCATTTTTATTTATTTTGACAGAAAGACTCATTCTTGCTGGTATAATCTTAATATTTACAACCAGATGAAGGTTTCATTTTTGGAAAAATAAATTTTCAGAGTAGTTTTTACAGTTATATCAAAAATTACTGATTTGGTTGTACTATTAGAAATACATAGACAGTTAATTATGAAATTATTGTGAGGTTTAATAAGTTAACTGTTTATATTTGGACAACTTTTCTGCTGTACATTATGGGAAGGAGAAAAACAATCATTTCCTTAATAACAATTTAAACAATTTATTTAACTAAAGCAATAACATGATAGCATATGTATCCATGTTTGGTAACTGATGTGGTTAAACTTTTTTAAAAAAGAAAAACTTAGACTGACTTTTAGCACACATGAAAAACTTAAGACAGATTCTTATTTCCTGATGAATAGCCTTTGGACTATAATGTAACTTAAATAGAAAACTATCTTTAGAAAGATTTTACCTCCAAAAGCATTTTATTTTAAAAATCCAATTTAAATTTAAAAAATCCAATTTAAATAAAAAAATCCCATTTAAATTTTTAAAAATCCAATTTAAATAAAAAAATCTGGGGAGGCTTATAATTTAGATAAGAAAATTGGTTTTCAGGTGGAAAAATCAAAATTGGAAACAGAATTCTTAGATCCTAAAACCAAGAATTTGTCAAGAATGTATAACTTGCTGTTGAAATGGAATACTCAGGATGAAACAGTTAAATCTGTTATGATTAAATGGGCACAAGACGTTGGACACAATATTATGTTTGCTGACTGGGAACAGTTATGGACCACAGGTATTAAGTTTACGGCATGTAATGCCTTAAGAGAAAACATAATGAAAATGATTTACAGGTGGTACTTAACCCCAGTCAAGCTGGCAAAAATTTACCATCTGCCTGATAATAAATGTTGGAAATGTAAAGAGAATGAGGGTACGTTCTTTCACCTTTGGTGGACATGCCCAAGGATCAAGGCCTTCTGGGAGATGATTTATAATGAAATGAAAAAGGTATTTAAGTATACCTTCCAGAAGAAACCAGAGGCCTTCCTTCTGGGCATGGTCGGACAATCGGTGCGAAGGGAGGATAGAACCTTTTTCATGTATGCTACAACAGCAGCAAGAATACTCATCGGAAAGTATTGGAAGACACAAGAATTACCCACCCGAGAAGAATGGCAGACGAAAATGATGGACTATATGGAATTGGCTGAGATGACTGGCAGAATTCGAGACCAGGGAGAAGGGTCGGTGGAAGAAGATTGGAAAAAATTCAAAATATATCTTCAAAAGCATTATAATATTAAAGAATGTTAGAAAGATGTTGGAAAAAGAAAATTAGGCAGTTTTGGTAGATATGAGATAAAGGATTAAGTAAAAATGAGTTGATGAAATTGATGAAATAGAGGATATTTAATTATAACACTTTAAATTAAATTACGCAAATGAAAATAAGATTGGAAGGATTTGCTGGAAAAAAACGATCTCAACTAGAATACAAAATTAGGAGGTGAGAGGAGGTCAAGGAAATAAGTAAAGGGAAAAAGTTATGTAAAGGTTTAATTTGTTTTTGTTCTATTTTAATGCAATGCTTTTCTATATTTTTTGTTCTGTCTTTTTTATTGTATTTTATTGTTCTTTTTTTTCTCTTTTTATGCTATGTTCTGTTATGGTTATGGTTAAATTTTTCTTTGTATCTTGCAATGTTCTGTTTTTTGGTTTTTTTGTAATTTTAAATTTGGAATAAATATCATTTTTAAGGGAAAAAAATCTGATTTTTTTTTTAAAAAACCCATTGATTTTTATCCACCCTGTAATGAAATGTAACAGGGTGTAACACAGGGCGAGCTTCTGCGTGCTCTGCCGACATGCGAGAGGGCCAAGAACAGAACCCCTACGCAAAATGGTCACCGCCTGTATATAGGTAAATACACCATCTGCCCTCATGACACCACATTCTCTGCTGTAAAATGCATCTCTGGGTTATTTGTGGGGCATAGGAATTCGTTCTCCCCCCCCCGAAAAAAATATATAGTCCATCCCCCCCCCCAAGGTCTGAGGGACAGTGGACCAGCTGCCTGCTGAAAAAGTTTGCTGACCCCTGTCTTAATACAAGTGTTTTGTCTTTTTCTTTTGAAAACTCTTTCACCAAGAGAGCTCACTAAATGTTTCACAACTAGGTTTCTGCTATAATATTAAGAACCTTAATATTATAATATAAATGCTTTATTATTATTATTATTATTATTATTATTATTATTATTATTTTCTCTCTCACACAAACACACTCCAAGTATTTCTTGCATACTCACCAGTTTTGGCGTATCCCACTAATATCACATCATCACTCCGAGCTTCAAACGTGTCAAGAATTTTCATTGTGTCGGGACAACAGACTATGCGAGGATATAAACCCCCATCATGCATAAACAACTGGTCTTCAGGAGCAGCCTTTCCAGCTTCTTCCAACTTCTTGTCCATAATTTCCTTCAATGCTTCCTGAGACATGATTGTGCAGGATAGGAGACTAGTGCACAGGTAGACTGAGATCTCGGCCAATGGTGAAATAAAAAAATATAATTATACAGCCATCGTCTAGTCACGTGCTAAAGAATAAGTTGCCGTGCCTGCCTTGAAGAAAAGAACTGGTTACAGATTAACTCTGAGTTGCTGTTTGGAGCGCAAGAAAGGACTCTGACCTTTTTCTTCCAGCCTGCACAGCATTTAGTGGGGGCGGGGCAATTTGTGCCGAGCCAGGACACTAAGAAATGTTTGTTTCTGAGAGAGAAAATTGGCCAGAGGAAGAGGGAGGAGGGGTGCATTCCCTGGAAACACGCCAGGACACTAAGAAATGTTTGTTTCTGAGAGAGAAAATTGGCCAGAGGGAGAGGGAGGAGGGGTGCGTTCCCTGGAAACACGCAAATAGAAGAAGGCAGTTTTCCTTGCTTCCACCCACGAGGAGGAGTTAGAAGTCAACTTCTAAGCTGAGATTTCAACATCTGGAACTCCAAATTGGACAGAAGCACGCACATTACTGGGAGTGGAACTGCTTTCATTAAACTCGTACTCACACAACACATTGATTTTAATGATGCTTTTCAGAATCCTGCCCTTAACTTTCTGGATAATGCAAGAGGAGCTGTTTCCCCTCCCCCTGCCTCTTTCTCAGTATGGTGAAGAGATTTCAGCAGAGTTTGCACCTTAAGGGGTGTGTGAGAGTGAGTGTCCTCTTCCATTATACTGTTCTAGATTAGGGGGACACACACACACACACACCGAAACCCTAGAAATTAATAAATGCTAGGATTTTGATTATTTGGGATGTGAAGGGAGAAATACCAGTTGCAGAGGAATTCCACATGGAAGGCCACATTTGGCCTATGGGCCTGAGGTTCCCCACCCCTGATCTACAGGGAACTCCCAGGAGAGGTCATCTGGAGATGTGGGTGGAGGTACCACCATTATGTGGTCTACTCTTAGCTTTCCCTCTGTTTTCCATCAGCTGCAGGGGAGGCTGTGGGTGTACTGAAGCAATGCTTGAGCATGGCAGTGGGCTGGATAAGGGTGAATAGACTTGATCCAGATAAGACGAAGGTGCTTTCAGTAGGTTACTCTTAGACCCAAGTTCTCCGTAGAGGTTGCACTCCTTCTAAAGGATCAGGTTCACAGTCTCGGGTCAGTTATTGATCCAGCATTGTCACTGGAGGTTCAAAAGGCCTTTGCAGTTTCTTTCTATCAAGTTCAGCAACCATACCTGGATGGAGATAGTTGGGTCATAGTCACCCATGCTCTGGAAACCTCCCATTCAGACTATTGCAATGTTTTGCTGTGTGTCATTCTGCCTTTAAAAAGAGAAACAGCCTAGATTTTGCTGTTGATCCAAAATAGGGCCACAAGATAACTTACTGCAACTATGCAGTTGGATCATATTACAGTGGTACCTCGGGTTAAAAAATTAATTTATTCTGGAGGTCTGTTCTTAACCTGAAACTGTTCTTAACCTGAGACACCACATTAGCTAATGGGGCCTCCCTCCCCGCTGCGCAATTTCTGTTCTCATCCTGAAGCAAAGTTCTTAACACAAGGTACTATTTCTAGGTTAGCGGAGTCTGTAGCCTGAAGCGTCTGTAACCTGAAGTGTCTGTAACCCGAGGTACCACTGTACACCACTCCTTTGTCAGGTAGACTGGCTCCTTGTCCATATATTTGTATTTTTATGTTGTGAATTGCTCTGTGATCTTCGGATGAAGAGTGGTATACAAATTTAATAAATAAATAAGGACCCAGTTAAAGGGTTAGGACCCTTTAAGGCAGGGGTTGGCAAAATTTTCCTCACCTGGGCTGGTTCACTCCCGCGGAGATTGCTCCTTGGGCCGGATTGTATCTGCGCATGTGCAGACGCGATTTCCAGAGTTTGTGTCAGCGCAGATGTGATTTTCGACATCTACGGATGTTCAGAAGCGATTTCTGGCACCACGGAAGTGAGTCCCTGCTCCGCGCTGCGCCAGTTTAGTGCAACGCGTGGGGACACACCAAGCAGGCAGCTCGGTTCGGGGGTGGCTCATGGGCCATTTAAACGACCCCCGTGGACTGCTTGTGGCCCTTGGGCGGCAGGTTGCCGACCCCTGCTTTAAGGTCTTTGTGGCCTGTGATCATGTTACTTGAAAGATCACTTTCTTTCATGTATGGCTACTAGTCATGAATGGCTATACAGTGGGACCTTAGATCCCAAATGGCTTAGTTGTCGAACAAATCGGCTCCCATATGCCAGAAACCCGGAAGTAAGTGTTTTGGTTTGCAAATGTTTTTCGGATGTTCTGGAAGCACCTGCAGCCAATCGGAAGCTGTGCCTTGGTTTTCAAATGGTTTTGAGAGTCAAATGGACTCCCGGAACGGATTAAGTTTGAGAACCAAGGTACCACTGTATATTATATCCAGTAAGAGAGGTAGCATACTGTAACTCAGAATAGCAATTGCTGGGAAACAGTAATACCTGACCATTTTCTCCCCGTAGAGGGTAGTAGAAACATAGGTCAAAGTGTTGCTGTGAGCACAGGTAACTGGGGCAATATGTCCCGAGAGCATTTTACAAGAGGGTAAACAATGAGAGTGCAAAGAGTAGCACGGAATAAGGCAATTGATGACCTTCACCCCATAAGCAAGCTGGTTTCAGAGCTATCTGATTGCCTTCACTGGCTTTTTCTTAAACTATAGCATACTAGGAGTATATGAACAGCTTTGACCAGACCCTTACATAAAGGCATGCTTTAATTATGCTGGAAGCTGCCCAGTGAGGGTGAGGCCTCTGACTAGGTTTGCTTAAACTTTTACACACTAGGAGGGTATGAACTTCTGGGACCACACCCTTACAGAAAAGCTTTACTTTAAATGCTTTAACTTGGTGTTCCTGGAACTCAAACCCTACCCTTTGACGTTTGGAGCCCCAGGGCCTATGAAATATAAGAAGAGCTCTTGTCTCTCTAGTACGGCATGTGGTTTCCCACAATGGCCTCTGAAGCCCCCATGGGAAGCCCAGCAGCAGCCCTCTTCTGCTCTTGTTCTCCAGCAAATGGGATTCCAGTGTTGCCCCTGATCCTGGTAACCATTGTGACTAAGAGCCTTGTTCTCTATGAACTTGTCTGATGTCCTTTTAAAGCCAACTGAATTATTGCCATCAGCACAGCTTGTGGTAGGACACCCCATAGTTGGACAATGCGCAATGCAAAGAGGTGGGAGCTGGATGGGACTAACCTGATTCAGCTCTGCCTGCCCGGATGCTCTCGGCAACACCAATCCAGGCCAGAGGGTCAGGAGAAGGCATTGTCATAGTTCATAGAACTAGTTCTCACACTAGGAGCCACACTAAAGGACTTGCCTGGTGCCGTGGAGACAGGCTGGAGATGCTTTTGGTATATCACCCACCCTCCTGCCCAGTGAGCTCCCTGATGGAGGCTGTCTCTGGTGCCGTGTTGGAAGAACCCAAGACTGTGTTATGAATGACTCAGGGTTACTTCAGAAGTTCAAAGCTTCCTGTGGTCATTATGGGACTGTCTCAGAGCAGAGCATACCATTGACTATGATCTGAAAAGCACAATGTGATTGTTTAAGAGGCACTGTAGGCTTAGAATAAAAAAAGGCATTCCCTGATCAGTAATGTTGCCTGCACACAGAACTAATGGATTGGCTTGCATATGCAGAAATGTTTTACTGTTTTCAGATAGATCTACTGTCTTTTGCCATTCTTTTGCAATGTTCTGTTCTGTACTGCTTTTGATTTTTTTGAAATCTAAAACAGTATATAAATATTTTTAATTAAATAAAATGAATAAGTGAAACAAAAGATCCTGGAGTAGTTCTTTGAATATTAGGGGTTGTGATCTCCAGGGTGACCCATGCAAAAGGTTCACAGGATCAGAGCAGGGCAGGCTTTACAAACTATCCCCTTGCAAATTCTGATGATGGGATTTTGACAAGTGTGTGTGAGAGAGAGGCAACTCACCTGTCAATCATGTGATACTGCAATGCCATCATGTGACTGGCAAGCAGATTGCCCCACCCACATCACAAAGCTAGCCCAGAAGGTGAGAACCAAACAGATTCCTCAACTGTGGTCTAAGGGGGGGGAGGGGTGTTTGGCAAAGTCTAGTTTTGTGGAGGTTGGCAAAAGGTGGGGGGAGTTTGGCAAGTGGATAGGTGGGGTTGGTGAGCAACACAAACAGAGCCACAGCCCCTAGTATAAACATTTTTGGTTAATACATCTATTTTACAGTTTAGTGTAATAATCTAAAATGCATAACCAGGCTAGTCTACCTGAGGAAAAATTAGTGAAATGGAAAAAGTGTGTTTCTACACTAACAAAAGACTAATCAAATAAAATATATCATTTTACAAAGTTTATATCTTTGAAAGAACAATCTGGCATCAATCTGATTAGGATTAATTATAGGATGAGTACATGTACGGTATATATTGAAAGTTTTCACCAAAAAAGCTGGTATAATTTCTCTTGCCTTTAAGTATAGATATAATGTTGATGAATTCATTCCAAAAACCTGGATTTCTTGCTGTCCTTGAAATTCACAGGATCATTTATGAATCCTCTCCTAGTAGTTACATCTGTTCTTCAGACTTCATTATTTACAATAGACATCGTATTTTATATTTGATCCCACCTTGGTCCCTGCTAATCTTTCTTTAAATATTCTGTCCATTTCTTGACTATTTTCTTGACCGAAAAGTGTCTTCCAGTCACTTACACCACCTGAAAACAAAGAAATATAAAATTATATATATATACTTCCACAAGCAACCATGATTTCCTATTTGTGGTCCAGAAATCACATATTTGCAGTTGCAGGTAAGCATTAGTAAGTCCAAAGCATTACTGGAACTACTAAAGCATATTAACTACTTTTGTGAATAAGTAATTTTATTATTTTTACCCCGCCCTTCTGGCTGCGCCTCCCCAGCCACTCTGGGTGCCCTCCAGCACACATAAAAACATAATAAAATGTCAAACATTAAAAATGATGAGTAACACAATTCCTACCCTTCGAGGTGCTGCCATTTTGTTACTTTTTCGATTATTATTTGTAATGGTTCTAGGGGTTGCTCGTGCGTAAATCAGCGCCACACCTGGCTGGGTTGCCTGAGTGAACCTTTTCTGTCCGGACAGCCACTCGCCCGTGGCTGTCTCAATCGCTGGCAGAATCCGTCAGTGGGCGTTTCTTGAACTTCTTCCAGCACAAAAGTTCTTTGACGCCTAGTCTCCGCCTAGTCTCCCTGCGCGGAAGCCTTCTGCGCAGGGAGGGTGTGGGCAGCGGAGGACCCGTGCTCTCCCCGCTGGTCCCCGGCGAGGAGTCATGGAGCCACCTCGCCGATTCCCCCATCTGCCCCCCTTCTCTACTGGTGCTACGCTGATTTCCTTCCCCAGAAGATGTGCTGCTTCTCTCCCTCCCGGGACGCTCTCCGGAATCCCTCTGGAGCCCTCCCTCTCCCCCTGGCTCCGATGGCAGTTCCCTGACATTATTATTTTTAGACATTTCACTATCTTTTTCTGCATTCTAAATAAAATACAGATCCCCTGAAGAATTTTGGGGTGCTTCCCCTGAAATCTTGTTTTTTATGCAATGCATAAAAGCTATTTATTCGTAGCCTTGGGTGATTTTTCCAAAGCTGGAAGAAGGGTATAGGTTGCTTTATAGCATTTACCTTTACGGAAAAGAACATCACCAAATTCTCCATGGGTTGATTTGGAATTGCCTTTCATAGCTTTGAAAGTGCTCCTTTCTGCAACACCAAGACAGTCTTCGTCACTTAGGTTCAGTTCAAAGAATTCAGCTATTTTTTTGGCTCCTGCAGCTGTGTTCTGCAAAGGGAAAAAGGAAAAGCAATGTGTGTGATACTCTGATTGGATGTTTGATGAAGTAAGTTAATCAAACTTACTTATATAAATTCATACATCCAACAAATAAATCCAGCTTGCTTAGGGAAAGTCACAATGCAACACACTTTACTTCCATTTGCAGTAAAGGACCCCTGGACGGTTAAGTCCAGTCAAAGGAGACTATCGTGTTGCGGCACTCATCTCGCCACTGACCTAATCCCATAGGGCTCGTCTTATGTTCTTACTATCTACACTGTCTAAGCTCACATAATGGTGTTTCTGGGGATAGAGCCTGGGGCCGTCTACAAGCAAAGCAGACATTTTATCACTAAACAATGGCCTTTCCCCATACATACAGTTCATGTATTTTCATGTATTTGTATTACAGAAGTGCCTGCTGGGGTTCTTGTTCTTTATAGCCTGGTGTGGCGACTCAAATCCAAGTTCTCCAGTTATATATCAAAACACTGCCTGTAACATCTTCTGCAGGTATGAACCTCAGTTCAGTTGAACTAGGTTCAGCTCAAAGGGGCCTCTTCCAACCTGAAATGGGGTCGTGCAAGAGATATTTGAGGACTCTGCTTATTTCACTTATGGAAGCAAACACTTGTGTGCTGCTTGGAACATTGTTGTCCTCCTGCTTTTGCATTGCTCTGAATTTTGTGATGCAGTTTTTGGCTTTAATAATGTACATTAGGCTGTTGAAAATGGGCGGAAATGTTAGGAAAAATCCAAACGTATGGCAACCCATGTAGGAAGTGTAGTTTTGGTGAATTTCCTTAAAAATAGCTCAAAAACTCAACAGCTTTGGCCAAAAGAAAAGGGGGGAAAGCTCAACAGCTTTGCTAGGGTTTCCATATTTCACTTTTTGAAATATGGCAACCCTCTTTTAGCTGAACACTTGCCTGAACTACAAGGTATATCTGAACATGATTAACCTTACCTCTTTCAGCTCTTCATATGTTATTGGCATGACATTTTCTTTATCAATGAATTTGTTCCACACGCAAAGATATTCAATATAGGAACCCCAGGGCACTGGCAAAAATCAGATCATACAGCAATGGTGAGAGCAAGATTTATACACAAGAATCTTGTAGTAAGTCCCATTGAACCCAATGGGGCATACTAGGCATGCATAGGGTTGAACTTACACTCTTACTGTTAAGAATAAGTATAGAATTCGTATAACAATCTTCATTTTCCGCAAACACCATGGCTAAGCTCAGGAATAAATGTTAGACTTACTCTATGCCCCTCAAATTGGGAATGTGCCATGCAGGATTGTTCCACACACCATCATGAGGGAGAGAAGAGGATACACTGGGATGTAGCCTTCACAATGGCTGACTGTCATGGACAGTAGTGGTGGGGTTGCTGGTGCTTACCTGACCTCCCACCAGCTGAGTTGCTGCTGCTTACCTGGAGGGAGTGGGATGAGATGGTGCAAAAGCAAAAGATTGCCTTCATCAGTATGTTTGCACCAGACTGAGCTTACTGCAGCCTTGACCTTCTCCTCTCCCACCTGTAAGCAGCAGTGGTGACTTAGCCAGCAGAAGTTCAAGAGAATACCTGAGGACTACCATTGCCCAGTATGTCCCTATCCAGAAGTCCTGATTAACTGGGGGAAAGGGAGGTTTGGCACCAGGAAGCAGCTGTGCGAAGCTGGGCACAACATTGGGGGGGCAGTCACATGTGCATGACATCACATGCGATCGTGGGAGTGGGAGCAGGAATGGCGAAAACATCCTCCAAGCCTCCTGCCCCACAGGAGGCAGGGGATGGTGGCCCCCTCGATATTGAGAGGGGTGAGTCCCAGGCCTCAAAATATTGAGGGGGCTGAAGCCCTTTGTGCCCCATATACCCCATATACACGGCGCTCCTACTAGAAAGCAATATTAATCCTTCAGCTGCAAGGAGCATGCCTGCCCAATGTTCTGTGAACTGATCATGAAAATAGAAATACGTATTTTTGATGTGGAATGAAATGTGCCTCCCTTTTGTGTCAACTCTCACCCCCAAACCCTGGGCCTTAATAGTATCAAAAGTCTGAGAAGCACTGGAATCAACATACGGTAATGTTGGTGCTCCATGGTTCTCATTTACCTGAATCTCAAAAAACAAATTTATGATGGTATAGTAAATCAGGATTTTGAGCATGGGAATTAGGACTGTCCAGCTGATGGACTTGTCAAGGAGGCATTCAGTCTGAACTGCCTGTACAAGTCAATGCAATGACAATAAAGATTCTTATGCAAATCAGATCTCTAGATATCTAAGCAGCAAGTCTGACACTTCCTAAGAAGTGTACATGTAACACCATAGTTTAGTGTTACATACAGGAGCTTTTGACTCATGTGTTTCCCCTTCCTACTACTCTTCAGTTCTCAAGGAGATTGGGAACATCTGCTTCCATTTTCAACTAAACGTCATTTGTTGTTATGTTCAATTTGGGAATTATGATTGGTGTTAACTATTTTTTATCGGATGAAGGTAGGATCATTATCCACTGTCAGATGATGCTTGAATGAAATGAAATGGTTTTTTAAAAAATGGCTTTACAATATAATCCCTTCAAATTCAACATTGGATGACTTTAGAGAAGACATAAAATCAATAGGTTGTATCCAACAAAGTCATCCAATTTGTGCAAGGACTTCCTCTCCCTTTCCTCTTCCTACATACCCCACACTCCCCAAATCTGCTTGGGAGGGTTGGGGATCTCCCAGAACAGATTTGGAGGATGGCACACGAACAACTTTGTTAGATGCAAACCATTGTGCTGTTCATATTATATGCATTATTATAGTTGACATAGATAGGAAAAGGGAATGTCTACTTTGTCCTTCCATTAAAGCTCGGAAGTAATCTTCAAATTTATCATAAGGGGGATATGGAGCAAAGTTGTTCGAGAAATGGAAAAAAGATGCAGCGACATCCTTTGGATTCCGAATGAGCAGCAATATCTAGAAAACGAAAACATGAGAATGATAAGTATGAGATGATGGAATTGCACTATCTACAATGCACCATATTTCTCATAAATCAATGTCAGGGACTGGACTGAGGAGGAAGAGTGGTGGAGACCACTCCCCAACCTGACCCTCCCAGGTAGGAGGAAGAGGAAGACGGTATAGCTTTACAATAGTGATTTGCGGGAGGTCACTGCTCAGAGGCAGAAGAGAGGAAAAGTTGGGAAATAATTGGCCATGAGGAGCAGGCAGAACCAGAGCAGCAGCTGGCAGACACGTTGTCACTAGAAAGCATTATAGGCCCACCATCTCCTAGAACCTGGCGAGCTTTAAAAGTAGGAGAGCAAAGAGCTCAAAGACAGAGGGCACTTAGCAGCATCCATAGAGGAGGTGATGATGGTGACAAATGAGGAAGTGGGAGAGACGGGGAGGGTGGAGATTCATTCGGGACAATGCCATCATCCAAGAGGCTGGGTTCTATAGCTTCTCTCTGTAATGTTTGAAATAAAAAAAGGGCGGTAAGAAACTTTTCCTTGTCTTTATACTTCCCTGGGCAACCAGCCAGGAGCCGCTGACAGTACCCTGACAATCAATTAACACACCACATTTTATCACTGCAATCTAATGCACTGGGAGTGAGACCCATTGCAGACATTGTGATGTCTGATAGAACAAATTGATAGAACTGGGCTGCATAGCACATAATTGACAAGAACGTAGGAAGGACACTGTAGGATCCCACAATGGCCCAGCTAGTCCCATATCCTGTTCTTACAGTGGCCAACCAGATGCCTATGGGAGGGCCACAAACTGGACATGAGTGCAACATTCTTGTGTTCCTCAGCAACTAGTGCTCAGAGGCATAACACTCTCACAGCCATTATGACTAGTAGCCATGACTCGTCTCATCTTCCATGAATTTGTCTAACCTCTTTAGACGAGAAGCTTTCACCCCCCAGGACTGGCTGTCATCCACATTCATTTTATCTGGTAAAAGCTACCTTCTTTCCTGCTGCTTTTAGCTACTGATTTACAAGTACAAACATGTCCTGTTGCTACCATAGGATTTCCTATGCGGTGCAAATTGGACCAAGTCACGCTACACAAAAGGCGGCCAGAAAACACACCTTCAAATCTCACACTGTGGGACAATTGTTGCATTATACTTAAGGGACGTGGGTGGCGCTGTGGGTTAAACCACACAGCCTAGGACTTGCCGATCAGAAGGTCGGCGGTTTGAATCCCTGTGGCAGGGTGAGCTCCCGTTGCTCCGTCCCTGCTCCTGCCAACCTAGCAGTTCGAAAGCACGTCAAAGTGCAAGTAGATAAATAGGTACCTCTCCAGCGGGAAGGGACAGCGTATCCGTGCGCTGCTCTGGTTCACCAGAAGTGGCTTAGTCATGCTGGCCACATGACTCGGAAGCTGTACGCCGGCTCCCTCGGCCAATAAAGCAAGATGAGCACTGCAACCCCAGAGTCATCCGCAACTGGACCTAATGGTCAGGGGTCCCTTTACTTTTACCTTTACTTAAGCGGAACAAGGGACAGAGTAGAATGTCAGCACCAGGGTTAAAGCAATAAACCAGCCCATTGCAGTTCTGGCAGGACTTATTTCACCAGCTTTGATGGGCCATTGTTGATGGGAACAGGCCTGGGTCTATTTCCCACACCAGCCTGGGAGCTGGCATAGCAAAATTAGAATTTGAACTTTCTCCCATACTACTCTTCTGCTCCGGCTGGTGCAAGTAACAGGATTGTAGATGCAGTTGTGGCTATCATGCTCTGTTATATCTGATTTTGCTTTTTTTTTAAAAAGTGCTTGTTTGTATATTGGATTCTTACAACATATAATGACATTGTGCACACATATAGTAAAATATCCCTCCCTAACCCAGAAGACAGAGTCTAGGCATACATGCAAAAAAGAGAGTTAAGTTCCTATCCTAGACAACCATTTGTATAGAAAACAATAAACAAGTCAGGTTAACTAAAAGATTACATAATGTGAGGAGAGTCCTCTGTGTTCATCTGAGCTATATGCATAATAAAGCTACACCAATCAGTTACAAAAGAGTCTTTATTCTTCGCCCTTGTGCCAATGTTATTTTATTAGTGAAATTTTCCACAAGTGCTATTCTACATGCTTTACTGTACCAATTTGTCAGAAAAGCACCCTCTAAGTTCTTCCAGTCTTTCAAGCCTGGCTGCTGGTAAAAAAGAAAGCTTATTAGAGGTTTGAGCTGTAAGTTAACATCTACCTTGAAAAGCACTTGACTTGTTTGCTTACAGTTATGAGCTGGTTCAAGGCTGATCTACATACGAGTACCACTTAAAATATTTTTGTGATAACAGTACTTACTTTGGCTTTATTCTTGAAGACAGATTTTGGAAGCTTATCAGGGCGGAGATGAGTAAACATCACTCTCCTGGAGGGATAGCTGTTCATCCTCTTCCAGAGGCCAAATTAATAGGCATGAAATGGAAAACAGGTGATTCATTTTTTTAAAAAGCCAACTTAAAAAAAAATATAATCAGTTCTACTATTTGCCAACAGCAAAATTGATTGGGCAATCCAAGCTTTGTGCATGACTCTTGAAAACACTTCCAAGAACTTCAACATAGAAATTGAAGCTGAGCTGAAAATTTGCAGAGAACCCTTCCTTTGGGCAGCTTCTTTTAAAACTTGTTGTTGTTGTTGTTGTTGTTGTTGTTGTTGTTGTTGTTGTTCCTGCAGCCACATCTAGAGTAGTAGCAGCAATGGAACTCTCCTTAGTGACCACTAAGCCTCTAGATTGTGGCTGCCATTTTGACTCCCAGAATGTCCAAAACTGCATACTATTCTGGGGCATTTTCGGAGGGGGAGCCTTCCATTGGGGAGGGAAAACTTTGCCCAGGACTCGCCAGTGTGGTGTAGTGGTTAAGAGTCACATAATCTGGGGAACCGGGTTCGCGTCTCCGCTCCTCCACATGCAGCTGCTGGGTGACCTTGGGCCAGTCACACTTCTCTGAAGTCTCTCAGCCCCACTCCCCTCACAGAGTGTTTGTTGTGGGGGAGGAAGGGAAAGGAGAATGTTAGCCGCTTTGAGACTCCTTAAAGGGAGTGAAAGGCGGGATATCAAATCCAAACTCTTCTTCTTCTTCCTTAGGAAGGTCCACATTAAACTTTAAGAACTATTCTACCAGGGTAGTGGCACTCACGGTGGCATTGGTGACAAATGTGACAATGGGAGGGGGGGTTATGTCTGGGCAATCTAATGATGTCTGAGCAATCCTGGTTTCATTACAAACAAAGAGTACTAACCTGATACTTTTCAAGATCTCCAATTTCAATATACGGAATTTCCGCAAGGAGCAATTTTTCATTCAGTTTCTCCGGTTCATGTTTCTTTGCAGATAGGACTACTAAATCTGTAACTATTTGGCCAACCCAGTTGGTACCTAGGAAAACACAGAGCTGGGAATGAAATGCTTTTTTTTCAGACTGCCGACAAATGCATAATAATCGGAGAACTGATTAATTCATGAGCAAGAAGAATAGTGAGTTTCAAGAAACTCTGATAGAAGACATTCTTTCCCAATTTTTTTTTATCATAATTGTTTTCTCTCCTCAAAAAGCAAAATTACTTTGCCAGAAAACAAAGGAAAAGGAGATCTTTAAAGACTGCAACAGAATATTCACTAACATACAATCATACTTAAGGTGTGTGTGTTATATAAACAGAAAGACTTATTCACATATACTTGTGAGTGTCACCTAGCTGTTTATTTACCTTCCTGTTTATTTCATTAGTCTACCAAGACAGAGCAGTCTCTAGGCAACCTTGACGGTAAAGTCTTAAAATATTGTTTAAAATAGGCTTTAAATCAAATTTAAGAACAAATCAAGACAGAAGACAACAGCAGAAAACTAACTAATCTGAGTGATGCTAACATTAAGTCTTATCCCATCAACTGCCTGGGAGAAGAGGAAGACCTCCCTACATGTAATCAGGATCCCTTGGTGGTTATATCAGCTAAAGACAAGTGTCCTATCAAAACAACCTGTCTCTTTTGAACTCTCTCCTCACATTAACATGTCTACATTTGTAGCATATCCCTTTGTCATCAAAGTTCTGCAGCCAAAAATATTCAGAAGATTAGAACTGAGGTTTGTTGTTGTTCTTGAGAACCATAATTTTTTTTCTGTCTTTAGGTCTTTGCAAATTATGGTATTATACTGCCATTTATTCAATAACTTTTTTTTTTTTTTGGCATGCTATCATTCCAGTCTCCACTATCACTTTGACTTTAACCAATGTTAACATGGCCACACACTCACCGGATTTGCAGTATCCTGCTAGAAACACATCATCACTTCTTGCCTCAAAAGATTCAAGAGCTTTGAACTGCTCTGGGCTGCAAAGAGCTGTGGGGTACACAACTCCGTCATAAGTAAATAGCATTTCCTCTCGAGACATCTTTTCACCATCTTCCATTGCTTTTTCCAGAATGTCAATGAACTTCTGTCTAACGTAAGGCATTTTTCAAAGGTCTCTTCTTCTTTCTCTTCTGGAAGTGGAGTGACTGTAAAGGAAGGCAGAGACTTTGGCTTACACACTTGAGTTACTATAAAGGTAAAGGGACCCCTGACCATTAGGTCCAGTCGTAACCGACTCTGGGGTTGCGGCGCTCATCTCACTTTACTGGCCGAGGGAGCCGGCATACAGCTTCTGGGTCATGTGGCCAGCATGACTAAGCCATTTCTGGCGAACCAGAGCAGCGCACGGAAACGCCGTTTACCTTCCCACAGGAGCGGTGCCTATTTATCTACTTCCATTTGACGTGCTTTCATACCACTAGGTTGGCAGGAGCAGAGACCGAGCAATGGGAGCTCACCCCATCACAGGGATTCAAACCGCCGACCTTCTGATCAGCAAGTCCTAGGCTCTGTGGTTTAACCCACAGCGCCACCCACGTCCCTTGAGTTACTATAGGTGTTGCTTTTTTTAGGACAGCTTGCAAAAAGTAATCAAAGCCATCAATTTTTTTTAAAAAAAGCATATAAAACAAACAAAAATAAAAGCAGGACCATTTAAATTTTAAGATTTGTCTTTTGTGTTGAAAAAGAAGACCCTCAACCCTCAGCATTTTTAACAGAATATAGATTGAAATAATGTAATTGTTTTAGTCATTTAAAAGTTAGCAAAAGCATGGCCAAAGGTGCTTCTTTTTTGGTGGGGGGAGGAGTCTCTTACCTGACCCCAGATTTTTCCCTTCTGTAATCTGAGGAGCTCCAGTTAGGTTGAGCTGTGGACCAAACAGAGCAAATATTTCCTTCCCAATCCCATGAAGCCTTTATACTCGTCTCAAGTCTCTCCCTCGTCCTGCCCTACTTTTCATCCCACCCTCCTTTATTTATGTATTTCTGCGTTGTTATGCAATCGCTGCAGATTTTGCAATATGATCAAGTCCAAAGTACAGGTCCATCCAGGTTGTGGGAGAATGTCCAGTTTCCATCAAATATTAAGCGAGGGGTCAACTGGCTACAGTTATCAGGCTTACTTGTTGCCTTGCTTCTTCAAGATGTTGCAGCCTACAGGGAGCCCGAGAAAATATGAGAAAGCAGCATGATCAGCCTCGAAAATGTGCCGAAACCAGTTATACCCATTTGGCTCTGCTCTCCTTCCCGTTTTATTTTTGCATTCCACAATGCTTGCCTCCTCCTTTTCTCTTTCTCTTTTAGGATTTTTTGACCCTTACTTTTTCCATTTTCTTTAACTTTTTTCACTGAGTGTGTTTCTCAGATAGCTACTGCTAGAGATCCATTCCTTTCTTTTTCCACCACGTGACCACAAGTGCCTCTTCTATATTTGTGGAATTTTTTTGAGCTATGGTTACTAAATACAATCAGAAAGCCACTCTGCACATGCTTTGGTACCTCGGATTTGCAAAATCACTCACCAACTTTCCTTGGACCCTATTCTTCATTTGCCATGGTCTGCACCCCTTTTAGCACCAGGAGAAACCATCTGATATTCAAGAAGTAGAGGACATTCAGTAATGAGGATCATCTCACAGATTGCTTATAGAATGGTGCATAGATATTGCTTGTGCTTACAATTTCCTGCCACCAAATAATATTTGTTGTTGTTTAGTTGTTTAGCCGTGTCCGACTCTTTGTGACCCCATGGACCAGAGCATGTCAGGCACTCCTGCCTTCCACTGCCTCCCGCAGTTTGGTCAAACTCATGCTGGTAGCTTCGAGAACACTGTCCAACCATCTCGTCCTCTGTCGTCCCCTTCTCCTTGTGCCCTCCATCTTTCCCAACATCAGGGTCTTTTCCATGGAGTCTTCTCTTCTCATGATGTGACCTAAGTATTGGAGCCTCAGCTTCAGGACCTGTCCTTCCAGTGAGCACTCAGGGCTGGTTTCCTTCAGAATGGATAGGTTTGATCTTCTTGCAGTCCATGGGACTCTCAAGAGTCTCCTCCAGCACCATAATTCAAAAGCATCAATTCTTCGGCGATCAGCCTTCTTGATGGTCCAGCTCTCACTTCCATACATCACTACTGGGAAAACCATGGCTTTAACTATACGGACCTTTGCTGGCAAGGTGATGTCTCTGCTTTTTAAGATGCTGTCTAGGTTTGTCATTGCTTTTCTCCCAAGAAGCAGGCGTCTTTTAATTTCGTGACTGCTGTCACCATCTGCAGTGATCATGGAGCCCAAAAAAGTAAAATCTCTCACTGCCTCCATTTCTTCCCCTTCTATTTGCCAGGAGGTGATGGGACCAGTGGCCATGATCTTAGATTTTTTTGATGTTGAGCTTCAGACCATATTTTGCGCTCTCCTCTTTCACCCTCATTAAAAGGTTCTTTAATTCCTCCTCACTTTCTGCCATCAAGGTTGTGTCATCTGCATATCTGAGGTTGTTGATATTTCTTCCGGCAATCTTAACTCCGGTTTGGTTTTCATCCAGTCCAGCCTTTCGCATGATGAATTCTGCATATAAGTTAAATAAGCAGGGAGACAATATACAGCCTTGTTGTACTCCTTTCCCAATTTTGAACCAATCAGTTGTTCCATATCCAGTTCTAACTGTAGCTTCTTGTCCCACATAGAGATTTCTCAGGAGACAGATGAGGGGATCAGGCACTCCCATTTCTTTAAGAACTTGCCATAGTTTGCTGTGGTCGACACGGTCAAATGCTTTTGCATAGTCAATGAAACAGAATTAGATGTTTTTCTGGAACTCTCTCGCTTTTTCCATAATCCAGCGTATGTTCGCAATTTGGTTCCTCTGCCCCTTCGAAATCCAGTTTGCACTTCTGGGAACCAAATAATATATCCATCCACAAAGCCAGGCCAACATAGATCAACCTTTCACACAACCCAGATTCCAAGAGTGGCATATGGAGAAACAAGCACTAAAAGTGTATAAATCAAGTCTCAACGGCAGCCTACATATCAAGTCACACGAGTAGCATACATATATGCAGGAAAGTACAGTCGTACCTTGGTTTTCAAACAGCTTAGTTCCCGAATGTTTTGGCTCCCGAATGATCAAAACCCGGAAGTGAGAGTTCTGGTTTTCGAACTATTTTTGGAAGCCAAATGTCTGACGGGGCTTCCGCAGCTTCCGATTGGCTGTAGGAGCTTCCTTCAGCCAATCAGAAACCGTGCTTTGGTTTCGGAAGTCGAATGGACTTCCGGAACACTTTCTGTTCGAAAGCCAAGGTACGACTGTATTAGGAAAGGGAGTTTTTATAAGCGGTTTAGGCTACAGACCTAAAAGCACTTACCTGATGGAAATAAGCCCCAATGAAAACAACTGGGTTGACTTTTAAGTGGGCATGTATAGCAGGGGTAGTCAAGATGGTGCCCTCCAGTTGTTGTTGGGCAATTGTCCTTGCTGGTGCAAATTGGAGCCTAACAAGATCTGGGTGGCTACATGTTGGCAACTGTGAAAAGGGTACATTCTGTGCTAGAGATCATTAGGAAAGGAATTGAAAATAAAACTGCCAACATCATAATGCCATTATAGAAATCTATGGTGCAACCACATTTGTATTACTGTTTGTACAGTTCTGGTTGCCTCAGTTAAAAAAGGATTATTGTGGAGTTGTGATAGGTGCAGAAAACAACCACAAGCGATTCCCTATGAATAAAGGTTGCAGTGCTTGGAACTTTTTAGTTTAGAGAAAATATGAGTAAGAAATGACATGATGGAAGTTTATAAATCCATGCATGGAGAGCACCACAGTAATACTCATGTTGAGATACATCTAAGACCCTTCTAATTCTGTTTCTCATTTTACAAATGGGAAGCACAGAGGTGGAAAGTCTCTAGTCTAGCAGCTACTGCACACTGGGTCGACATCTTCATCCAGCTACCTACTATGACCCCAAGGTCTTGCTTCTGGTCCATCACCCCTAGTTCATACCCCATGAGTGCAAGGGTGAAATTAAGGTCTTTTGTTCCAACATGCATCACTTTACACTTGTTTACGTTGAACTGCATTTGGCGTTCAACTGCTCATTCACTCAGTTTGGTGAGGTCCTTTCAGAGCTCTTGATAATCTCTTTTTGTTTTAACAACCTTGAACAATTCAGTGTCATCAGCAAACTTGACGTTTTCCCACTCTTTGGGGGAGGGGAACAGAAAGCATTCAGAAAGGTCACTCTGACCTCTGCATGCAGGAATCTCTTCCTGTCTCAGCAATATTTTGCTGTAGTGGTGGCACTTTTCAACAATGGCAGAGGCAGTATGTGCAAGGCAAGGAGAATTTGAGGAGCCTGCACCAAAGGAGATGTAGGGGTGCCGCACATCTCCCACAAGGCATAGGTAGCTCACCTCTGCATCATATCAATGCACAATGCTGAAAGAGGCTGAGGTTTGAGTGTGCACTGCAAAGCCCATCCCAGTCTCCAGCTTCTTATCTTCCATTGTCTAGTTCATGACAGACAAAGCAAACCTGCTTGGCCTTGGATTGAGGGTGCAGAGATTATAGAGGCAGTGTAGTATAGTGGTTAGAGTGTCAGACTAGGACCTGAGAGACCAGATTTCAAATCCCTGCTTGGCCATGCAGCTCACTGGGCAACCTTGGGCTGGTCACTGTTTTTCTCCCTAACCTTACCTCTCAGGGTTGTTGGGGGGGGGTTTAAATGAAGTAGAACATAGCCATGGATGGACCACGTTGGACTCACTGGAGGAAAAATTGAGCTTTAATTACAATAAATAAATATTCACACCAGCAACAGGTTCAAACGACAGTCAGCAGAAGCTTTTGTGCTCTGAGTGGTTACTGGAAAACTCAACACAAGCAAATAATTTCTTAAGTAAACAACTTTATTTTAAAAAATGTAGATTTTTCTAAGCCTCTGAGGTTTCACAACATTCAAGCAGTATATAAATCTTGTGAAACAACTAACTGAATAAACATTAAGTGCAGAGAAGGAACGGATTAAGTGGCTGGTTTAGAACAAAACATGATTTTAAAGGGGAAGTTTCACCCCTTGAACAAAACCTGGGCGTTCCCTGTCCAACTGCTATGCCTGATATGCCTTTTCACCACCTGTAAATGAAAAAAAAACAACCTGTTATTCTGGAGATAATGAGGGTAGGGCAAATACTATAAATTATGTTAATCCCATTGTTTGCTCTTGCATTCACTGGGGTTTTATCTTCTTTCAGAAATAGTCATGTGTGGTGGTTTTGAGTCAGACAGAATGAGAGATGGGAACTTTTTTCTATTTGCCCCCACTCCAAACCCATGGTCCTGATCTGACCCCCCCTGCACCTGCAGTGTCTATGGATGGTTGAAAGTTGCCACTGAAGTGAATGGGAATGCTTTTTCTCATGCAAATTGCAGGTGCAAAGGAGCTGATCTGGATCAGGACTGTAGCAAGGGCAAAGGGGGAAAACTCTGGCTAACTCTGAAACTGCTCCCCCGAGGAACAGCCCCATTGATTCTGAGCGACCAGTTTTGTAGCACCCTGCTTGTGGTTAACGCTTAGCTGGAATGAAATATTCAACGCAGCAATAGAGAAATTAAAATGATAATTTATTTGTCAGACAAATAAATGAGAGACACAGTGGTATATGGATACCAAAGCTCTGCCTACTCCAGCCCTGATGGCCAGCACTTATATTTCCTCAGCCCAGCCCCCTTGCTCCTCCTTTGGCTGCCTCTGTCCAATCAGCCTGGTTGAAATTCCTATTGGCTGTTTGCTAGAACCAATCATAAAAGATACACCCATTTCCTATTACCTTTTATGGGAGACAAAGAGCTATATTTCCTTCTATCCATAAATGGCAGACAAGTTACCAGATCACCTTTTGCCCTATTGCCCTATTGCCCCTTCACTCCACAACAGATGGCTAAAACAGATGGCTCATGGTAACAGAGATCTTGGGTTCACATTCTCACACACCATCAATGAAATAAGAATCTAACATAAGAATCTAACATTTCTTACTTTCTAAATCCTTTGCATAATTACATTAAGCCAATAAATTTCATACATTAACATAGATAGATTTTTAGAAGAAAAGGCCTTTGCAAAGTAAAAAGGAAACAGCTTCAAAAAGAAGCCTCTTCAGTTTACAACCCTCCTTTCCCAGCCAGCTGCTGTTCCTATTAGCTCTTGCCCTTTAACCTTATGAAAATATGACTCGAGTCTAATGGGAGGCACCTGGTATTATTTTCTGTTAAACAATAAATCTTACTATTTACCAACTCTTAATTAGTGTTTTTGCAGCTTGATT